GTGATAGTGTAGTCATTGCTTGCAGCTGTGCAGTTGTTGCTGCAGCTAACTGACAAATCTCCACTGCTTTTTCTACAGTGAGATTTGATTCTTTCAAGAGTCTTTCCTGCAGTTCAGGAGTCGCACTAAACACAATCTTGTCTCTGATCATATCATTCGACACAGAACCAAAATCACAGTCTAGGGCTTTGAGCCGTAGCTCAGTAACAAACTGTTCTATCATTTCTCCCTTTATCCATTCATGTTTCCAAAACAGATACCGCTCAAAAATAACATTCTTCCTGGGAGTACAATATTTCTCAAATTGCTTCAACACTGTCTCAAGGTCTTTTGAGTCTTTATCAGGGAAAACAAATGTCTTATAAATAGACACGGCCTCCTCACCCACAGTACTTAGAAGAATCCCAATCTGCCGTTCATGGGAGAATTCATCAGCTCCAATAGCTGCCAAGAAATAACGAAACCTTTGCTCCCAATTCTTCCACCTTTCAGCCAGATTACCTTTAAACACAAACGGAGGCGATGGTCTTACAAAGTCCATAATTCTGACACCATGTGATGTCCACTGTCCAGGACAAATCCAACAACTTCTCAGTCACAATCTCAGGCAGGGTTTAATTCAAAATACAATGTTTATTCAATCCAGCTATCACCAGGTAACACAACGTGTTTCTCCAAGCAAGTAGAGGACTGATAAAACCCACTCTGCTAATGGCCTGCAGGTGGACATAACAACTCCAAGTGATCTTAAAGATACATTACACCACAGCTCCGGTCAGTACTCTGGGCTTAGAGTACATCAACCTCTCATGCGCGCCTCCTTATGCCGGGTTGCCATGTCCCGTCGCCTCTGCTCTCGCAAACAAGCCACCGGTGGAGGTGAATCAGGATGCGTGGTGCTTGTGCTTGGCTCTGCCAGCATGGCTCCAGGTGCAAACTCTCCTGTTGACTGGTGCTCATCCTCCTCAGGACATAGGTCCAGCGATTCAAGGGGTGCAGGGAACTCAACCTTCAAAGTTGAGGGTACAGAATCCCCTGGGTCAGGGTCCACGGGGTCGAGCTGCATAGTGGGCATGACACATGCATACTGATGGTGCAGCCATAATCATCATCACCACTGTCTTCAGCATGGTTTCCTGCACACAAACTTGCCTCAGATCTGAACCCAAGGAAGCAGTCAAAGTGACTGCTTTGAGACTAGCTGTAGGTGGTATATGTGAAGAAAGCATGATGGTTGCTACTGTGACTTGGGACAGCAAGTTCGAATCCCCACCGCGGCTGGGTTGAGCCCCCGGCCCTAGTCCCAGCTCCTGCCAACCCAGCGGCTCGAAAGTAACACAAGTAGACAAATGGGTACCTGCCCTAGGTGGCAGGGGGCACCCTCCTCCTGGTTCCATGCCAGGAGTGCGGTTGGTGGCGGCGGCGGCGGCAAGCAGAGCAGCGGCAAGAGCAATGGCGGTGGCGGAGCAACTAAGCGATTCAGGAAAGGCAGCAACCAGATCGAATGGAGGCGGAGCCGGGCGACGCAGCATCGAGGGGATGCAGCACGACAGGAGCCTGTTGGGATGCATAGCCGGAAGCTGCGCCCCGAAGCAGTTGCGCGCCGGAAGAAGAAGTCATCAGAGCCTGCCCTGAGAAGGTCGCCAGTCATCCGGATCGTCAGAAAAACAACGTCCGAGGCCCGCTGGAGAGAAGGAAATACGCCACATGGGTGCTGTTAGGTAATCCCCTCCCCGTGAAATTGTGGCCCTAGCTAGGTAATCAACTACATAAAGTAGTTCATTGTAAACCACTCTGAGACCCATTAGGGGTCATGAGCGGTATAGAAATTGAAATATAAAAATAAAATAAAATAAATAAAGCAGTCAACTGAAGGGCATGAGTGCTGATTGGGACAGCAGATGGATGGACCAAGTAAAAATAGGAGTGGAATACAAGGGGGAATGGAGCTCACCAGGTAAGACTAGGCAACACCAAGATAATCATAGGGTGCGTTCAGACAGCCTGCCAGGAGCGGTTTAAACTGCTCCGGTTCCATGTGGACTAATTTGATCTGGGGCAAGTGCGGTCACACTCACCTCCCTCACCACGCAACACATCGGTCCTGGGTGTCCACACTAGGTGCGCAGCAGTGCGCGTCGGCATTTTAAAAAAAATATTATTTTACATTTTGCGCTTGCGCATAGGCAGCCATCCACAGAATTGAGATCTTCACACAGGCGCAGAACACCCTGTCCTGAAAAGCATGCCCTGGAGGAACACTGCCCTTTAAACTTTTACAGCGAAAAGGGCCTCCGTGAGGTCCCGTACTCGTCCGAAGCTTAAAACTAATCACTTTTTTTAAAAATTAACGCCAGGCTAAAAAAAATGGTGGGCGAAAAGCGGAAGCCTCGGGCTTCCCAGCGGAAGTGGCTCTACACCGGCGGAGAGCGATCACACGGGGGAAATGCGGCTGGAACCGGAGCCCTCAGGAAAACACCACTTGGGGACCTAGTGGCAAACTACACCGGTTTAAGGGGTGTTTGCGACAACTGGCAACGGTTAGGGATGGAAGGCAGATGTTGTGCGTGTGATCGCGTGTAAGTACTCCGTTTCTAACCAGCTTCTATACCATCTTAAATGCCCCGTCTGAACGCACCCATAGTCTAAAATCCCCCCTAATCTCTGCTTTAAACCCAATAAAGAAAAAAAGAGGCAACCATCATCACCTTGTGCCTGTCATTTTCTTCCCTGTGAGGGCTAAAAGAAGTGGGGAAGAGACATTTTCAGTCAAGGAAATAGTGCACGGGAGGAAAAATAAGTTTACCTGTTTACCCACTCTGGCTACTGGCTGGGGGCCAAACCACACACATCTGGATTCTCAATCAGGGTGGACCAATGTTGTTTGACGGTGCTACACTCTACACCCACATGCACACAATCTTGGGTCTTGAAAAGCCTAGTTTCTGGTTTCTCCCGGGATTAGGACATGAATACGAGATATCACTTCATCGGAACGAATGGCACCCCATGTGTAATCCTTATGAAGGAAGTTAGGGTGGATGCTTATCCCCCGCCCCCCCCCCGCCCCCCATAGCATGATCAGCAGTGGCGAGTCCAGTCCGCGTTAGCAGCAGCCAACACCCAACCAGCGGTAGCTTGGGGAGTGACGACTCGTCAGTTATCCGTAAGCTTGTGGTCTTACTGAACAACACCGAATTTGGCGGACAGGAGTTTTGAAGTTCTGGCAGGCTGACCGTAGGAACAGATTCTTCTTCGGAGGGCTCGGGAGGAGCTCAGAGCGTCCCCTAGCGCCGGAAGAGGGCGAGGTCCGTCCCATCACTTGCTGCGGGGCGGGGAAGGGTGAGGCACAAGCGAGCTGATCGTACCTTGGGACTGGCAGGCGTATGGTGGCGAGGGACTCGCTCGCACGCCCAGGAAAGGCCGGGACGGGACCTTCAAAAGGTGAGTCGCCGCCAGATGGATCAACGCCTAGTTCTCCGCGCTCTAAAGGCCGATAGCCGGGGGGGGGGGGGGGGGGAGGAAGTCCGAGATAGGGAAAAGGAGACGGGGCGGCCGCGCTTGTCACTGTGGGACGCCGCCAGGGAACTCTAGACTTGGGAAGCTACGACGGGCAACCCTGCTCAAGAGAACCGAGGTTCCCTCCCCCGCGCGCTAGCCTAAAAAGGTCCGTGCGTGCGTCCCTGTTGAGAGTCACCTTCCTTCGGGTGATCGCTGGGAAACTATGCCGTGTTGAGGAAAGATTTATTCCGGATCTCATAACAGTAGTGTTTAAAGAACCATATAAATCGATGGTGCGCTCTACGGCCACGATGGCTAAGGAGTATTGCGCGGGGGGTGGGGGATTATCTGTTGTTTTCGTGCTAGTGCTTGTTGTCAACACTTGATCAGAAGACGATAAAGGTAAAGGTAAAGGTTCCCTTGCTCGAAAGCCAGTCGAATCCGACTCTAGGGTTGCGGTGCTCATCTCCGTTTCCAAGCCGAAGAGCCAGCGCTGTCCGAAGACGTTTCCGTGGTCATGTGGCCGGCATGACTAAACACCAAGGCGCACGGAACGCTGTTACCTTCCCACCGAAGTGGTCCCTATTTATCTACTTGCAATTTCTTGCTTTCGAACTGCTAGGTTGGCAGGAGCAGAAGACGATAGTTAGTCCTAAATTATTGTGAACTAAAAAGAGTGAGATCTTCCCTGTGTGTCCCCCAAATTCTTCCAAATAACGCTGGGACCTGGTCAGAATCACTTGGCTCCTGCTAATTATATTTTACCACGATTTAACCACTGTTTTGCACTCACAACTCTGGTGGGGTTTCCCACTCTGTTTATGTATGTTTGTGTGGTTAGTTTGGTGATTCTAATTCATGAAATCAATGGTGAATCCTGTTCGTAATCCTCGATTACTTAATTTCAGAGAAGAGGGGTGCAGTGATGATTTCAAGTGTGTAAGGATAGTATCTTTGGAGGCAGCTGATTCTGGGGAAGGCCCCTCACAATACGAAAGGTGTGTCTGATACTTCTCTACCACAGAACAAATTGAGCAGAATGTTATTATTGCCTTCTGGTCCATGTTTGGAACTGAAGACTGTTTGCATTAAGTAATGTGAACTGGAAATTCTGCTTCATATACTGACTCTTGTGAATCATACAAGAGAGATTTGGATACTCGTCATTCATCAATCCACACTTCTTACACTGGTGCAGATTAAATGAGTGTGTATCGAAAGGTGGGGGGGATCAAGTACAAAAGATCAGCTAAGGGGTTAATAAACTTTTGTAAGTTGTCTGAAGTATGGACCACTGGATTTTATTTCTCATTCACAAGAGGCAAGTATAAACTGCAATAGGTTAGGAGCCATGACTCAATCTTCTGGTTCTGAATTTAGCCCCAGGTTACTTGAGCCAGACAATAGAAATAACAGTGTTAAAAAGCAGGGTAATTCAATTATACTGTATGTGCTTACTACAGACAGACACTTTTTTATTTAAAAGATCCTGCTAAAAACATTACAACGATGGCAACAGGTTAATAAATTTACTTCTTGCACTAGTGGACAAGAGTTAGTACCACCATGTCTAGTATAAGAAGACTGTTAATTTTTCAAACTGCACATTTGCTTGAGAAGTGTAGATAATGACCAGTGAGTTGTGAGAGTTGTCTTTAGTCTCTCAGATTCACAACGTGTTTCCATCACTTTTGACATGATGACCAACTGTAGAGTAGAATGACGCCGGTTCCCAGGAACAGACTCCGCTTGTCCTTGTCAGTTTATTATTGCTGTGATGATTTATGCAATCCAAAGAATGTGACCAGGAATTTGTCACATATGTTCTTGCATTTACAATACTAAACATGTTAAGCATGTTAACCTTTTTAAATAGCTGCCCCTCCCCAAGATTTATATTTCTTCATTAGACTGAGGGGGATGTGAATTATATGTCTTGGAAATTTAAAACATATTGAGGCGGCTGTAATAAAATAAAAAGTCACAGTTTAAAAAATTCTCTGCATTCCCTAAATGCTGTTTTATTTGGGGCATCCTAATCTACATGATCCCAGATTGGGTAAGTGGGAAATGAAGATTGATACTACTCAAGACGTGTAGTCTGTGTGTGTGCATGTGTGTGCGTGTGTGTGAGAGAGAGAGAGAGAGAGAGAGAGAGAGAGTGAGAGAAAGAGAACCTATATATCCATCTTGGGGATGAATAATATATCTTTGAAATTTAAAACATAATACATATTTTGAAGGCTGTAATAAAATAAAAAGTCACAGTTTAAAAAATTCTCTGCATTCCCTAAATGCTGTTTTATTTGGGGCATCCTAATCTACATGATCCCAGATTGGGTAAGTGGGAAATGAAGATTGATACTACTCAAGACGTGTAGTCTGTGTGTGTGCATGTGTGTGCGTGTGTGTGAGAGAGAGAGAGAGAGAGAGAGAGAGAGAGTGAGAGAAAGAGAACCTATATATCCATCTTGGGGATTTTTGAATATGGCAGTGTAGGATATAACAGTGCCATTCAAGCAGAATTACACCATTCTAAGTCCATTGAAGTAAACAGGTTTAGATGGGTATAACTCTGTTTAGGATGGTAGTGAACTGTCTTCATGAATGAAGAAGTAGGGCCGTGTGGTGGTGGTGGAAAGTGCCATCAAGTCACACCTGGCTTATGGTGACCCCCATGGGGGTTTTCAAGGCCAGAGACTTTCAGAGGTGATTTTGCCCTTGCCTGCCTTTGTGTTGCAACACTGGACTTCCTGGGTGGTCTCCCATCCAAATACTAACCGGGGCCAACCCTGCTTAGCTTCTGAGACCTGACACAATTGGGCTGGCCTGGGCCATCCAGGTCAGAACAAGGACGGTATGCACTGCCTTTAAAAACTGCAAAGAAGTATCCTCTACTTCCTGACTACCCCAAAGGCAGAAGACTCTCCAGGGCCCCCCTCCTTTCCAGGCTCCTGCGAATGCTCCCCACCAATACCCTCATTTCATTAAAAGCACCAGAATGATCCTGGGCTCTGTACAGCATTTACAAAGCAAGAGCCCTGCATGCAGATTTACAGTTTAAGACATGAAAGAAAGAGGGATGGAAAGAGGAGAGGGGAACTGATCAGAGAACAGGGCAAGGAAGTAGAGGAAGTTAGGAGAAATAGAAATGTGTGCGTGTGTGTATAGTGCTGTCAAGTCACAAATGACTTATGGCAACCATGTAGGGTTTTCAAGGTTATGTGATTCAGCAGAGGTGGTTTGCCATTACTTTCCTCTGCAAAGTCTTTCTTGGTGGTCCCCCATCCAAGTACTGACTCAGCTTAACTTCCAAGATCTGATGAGATTGGACTATATCAGAGGTGTTGAACTCATTTGTTACGAGGGCCAGATCTGACATAAACGTCACTTTGTTGGGCTGGGCCATGTGTGCCATCAAATGTAACATGAGGTACCAGAGATAAAAACTTTAGAAAGATTATTTCAGATGCCAAATGGTAGTAGCAGGTGAATGACAATAGCAGGCTTGATTGGATTAGGTGTGATATGCAGAGGGGCTTGGAGATACCAGCGTTGTTAATGCAACTGGAAACCTAGGTCTCAGTTCCATACAGAAGGATTCCGTCCAGGAGGATGCAAAGAATAAGTGGACATAAGTCTGACATTAGAAACCACAACATTCAGTTGCTGACCTAATAGTAGCAGTGCTCTTACAAAGGAATTTCAAAGGGAGAGTAGAAAGAGAGACTGCTGAACTGCAATTGATAATGAAGCTCAAGACAATGCATCCTCCTGTTCTGAACTGAAAGCTAGTTTTCCTGTCTCATTACCAATGTGTGCTATTATCATTTGGCATCTGAAATCACTCCAGTATCCAAAATATAAGGACCAATCCAAGTGTTCTAATTCCTAATCAGGTTCTTTGTGGGAAAACCCCCCATAAATCCAGATAGGAAGAGAGAAATCCAATATTATTATTTTTTAAAAAAAACTTTTCAGAATAAGCCAAAATAATTTCTTCAATGTACATTGAACCCACCCACCTCCTCCCTCCCTCTCAAGAAGTATCCTTGCACACAAAAGCTTATACCTGGAATAAAACGTTGGTCTTGAAGCTGCAATGGGATTCCAACTTTGTTTTCTCTTTCCTCCCCTCCCTCCCCAAAAGAGGGAGTCCCAGAGAAGGAAGCAGAAGCTGTGTGTGGGTGTGAGAGAGAGAGACTGACTTGTCTCTGTACCTCTCCCACACGAAGCAAGGAGCAGCCACAGAGCTCTGTGTGTGTGTGTGAGAGAGAGAGAACAAGGAAGGGGGAGGGAGGCAAGAGGCAGGAAGTAAAGAGCCACTGAGGGAGCTGGGGAAAAGCAAGCTAAGGGTGTGGCTGCAGCAGTAGCCTTGGGAAAGGAAGCAGGAGAAGGAAGTTGCTCAGGGGCCAGATTTGAGGCCTCTGTGGGCTGCGTCTGGCATGCGGGCCACATGTTTGACACCCCTGGGCTACACTATATCATTCCACATCCTAGAAATAGAATTAATAGAGCTGAAGTAAGGAAGAAGAAACCCACGTGGCTTCTCTGTGCTGTGTGTTTCCCAGGAGCTAGGGAGGATCATGCAACTGGTTGTGCATGCTAGACTTTGGTCCCCAGACCCAGAGAGTAGGATGCTTCCCCTCCCACTCTCCTCTCCCCTTCCTTCCAGAGCAGAGTACATAAGGAAGAAAAGAGCGTTTGGGCTTCTGAGAAAGGCAGTTCTTTGGGACGCTTCTTCTTTGTTAAAGGCTCTTGGGAGAATTTCTGATGCCTGTTTTCCCTTGACAGATGCCTGATCCTGGAGGCCGTTACTGATAGGATGTTTGCCACCCACCCACCCAATGCTTCCCACGCACCAGCTGCCAGCCCTCTGGCGAACACCTCAATGCACACAGAGTCGGTGAAGACCACTGCGAGTGCTTCATCGCCTGCTGCCCCCATTTTTTCTATGACCCTGGGTGCTGTATCCAATGTGGTGGCACTGGCTATCCTGGTACAATCATATGCCCGCTTCCGGCGCCGCTCCAAGGCAACATTCCTGCGTTTTGCCAGCAGTCTGGGTATAACTGACCTTGCAGGCCATGTCATCCCTGGCTCCTTTGTCTTGCGACTCTATGCAACACGGCGTGGCTGGGCAGCCATGGACCCTTCTGGAGCCCTCTGCCAGTTCTTTGGAGCTAGCATGGTGTTCTTTGGACTGTGCCCGCTCTTTCTGGGCTGCATCATGGCAGTGGAGCGTTGCGTGGGCATTACCCGTCCACTGTTGCATGCTTCCTTGGTCACACCAGGCCGGACAAAGCTCTCCTTGCTAGGACTGTGGGCAGCTGCTCTGGCCATTGCCCTGATGCCTCTCTGTACCTTTGGGAGCTATGTCGTTCAAGCCCCCGGCACGTGGTGCTTCATCAAGGTGCGAGGAGCAGAGGCGTGGCCAGAGGGAGCCTTCGCCCTCCTCTTTTCCTTGCTGGGCTTGGCCTCCCTGCTGGCCTCCCTCTTCTGCAACACATTCAGTGGACTCATCCTGGTGCGGGCCCGGCTCCGTGGTCAGCGGAAATGTGGGCATCGGCGGGCCAAGGCTCATGACATTGAGATGGTTGTGCAACTGGTGGGCATCATGGTGGTTTCCTGCATCTGCTGGAGCCCCTTACTGGTGAGTGGAGAAGAATGTAATTAAAGGGGGGGGGCTCTAATCAGTAGCAGAGGTATAACCAGGAGCAGAGGCACCTGGGTTTTGGCCACTGTGAGACACAGAGTGTCGGACTGGATAGGATATTGGCCTGATCCAACAATATGGCTTCTCTTATGTTCTTATAAAATTTTGAGAAATTTTGCAGCCATGAAATCCTTCCCTCATTTTTTATCTAGGAAAAAATGGGGGGGGGGGTTGTTTTTAGAAAAATTGAAATATATGCAATACTTATGATCCTATCAAACCTAAACTTATTCTCCTGCTCCAGCATCAAATGCACCACTTATAGCTTAGTTTGCATATACAGTTATACTATTTGGCAAGTTTATGGAATTTAGGACTATAACAATGCCATCTGGACACTGGCCCATTCCCTGGTTACACCTAGATTAGATTACTGTTATACAATCTACATGGGGCTTTTCTTGAACATTGGAAACTTCAGTTGGTGCAGAATGCTGCAGCCAGCATGTTAACTGGAGAGGGTTATATCACTCCAGACTTGGCTTATCTGTACTGGCTCCCAGTCTTTTCTGGGCACAATTCAAGGTACTGGTGTTGACCTTTAAAGTCCTATATGGGTTTGGGATCAAAATACCTGAAGGACCACCTACTCCCTTATGAACCCATCCAACCACTACAGTCATCTTCCAAGGTCCTGCTTTGGGTGCCTCCACCTTCTGAGATTAGGCAGGTGGCCACCCAGGGAGAGGGCCTTCCCATCCGTGGCACAAAACTCTGGAACTCTGTCCCCAGGAGAGTAATCTGTCCTCTTCTATTGCCATATTCTACCAGCAAGTGAAGACATTTTTATTTCATTTTATTTCATTTGGAAAAATCCTGCAGTTATCCCTCCGTCCTGCCCAATATTTTAATGATTGTCTTTGTACATATTTTACTTCTGGTTTTAATGATGTATTTTTGTTTGGTTTTAGTGGTTTTTAAGATGTGTTTTTATTATGTATGTTTTAAAAGTTAGCCACTTTGGTTAGCCCTTACAAATGTTGTAAGTAAATAAATAAAAGCAAATCCTAAGCAGAAATACATCCTTCTAAGTCCATTGGAATCAATGGGCATAGAAGGGTATAACTCTGCTTAGGATGGCAGTATAAATGCCTTGTTTTTTTTATAAGCACAACTGTGAAGATACCCAATAACAGAGAGAGAGAGGCAGAGAACAATGCATATTTTGCCACCTGAGAAGGAAAAAATAAAATAGAAATAACTTTTGTATTAAGTGAAAGAAAATGTATTATTTGGACAAAAATATTTTCATACAGGTACAACAGGACTAGCAGCATATTTGAACATCTAGTGTCTGTTGTGGAGAGGGGAAGGGAAAGGAGTTTGTAAGCTACTCTGAGACTCCTTTGGGTAGTGAAGGGCGGGGTATAAATCCAACCTCTTCTTCTTCTTTATAACATTGAATACACCAAACTCTTTGGTAATGTAAGAGCAAGAGTCCAGTAGCACCTTAAAGACTAACAAAACATGCGGCAGGGGATGTGCTTTTGCGAGTCTCTGCTCACTGCTTCAGATACAGCTAGAATGGGAGTCCATCTGTCCTATTTATAGGAAAGTGGAGATATTTCAGATGCTGATATTTCAGCAGCAGCGGCACAGCCAGGGAAGCCTCACTAGGCCCGATGGCATCAGCCACACAGCTTGGGAGCACAGCTGAGCCTAGAAGGAGCTGCTCCAGCTTGGCCCAGTGGTGGAGTTCGGCAGCAGCTGTGCTGAGCCTGACCAGGGTGGTGGAGGATGCTGGCAGCAGCACCGGACCCTGCCACAGTGGCAGAGGAGGTCAGCAACCGCACTGAGCCTGACCATGGTGACGGAGGAGTCTGGAAGCTGTGCCAAGCCTGGCCACAGTGGTGGAGGAGACCAGCAGTCACAATGGGCTCAATAGTTGTGGGGGGAGGGGCTTGGAGGCATAAGAACATAAGAGACGCCAATGTTGGATCAGGCCAATGGCCCATCCAGCCCCAACACTCTGTCACACAGTGGCCAAAATACCAGGTGCCATCAGGAGGTCCAGCAGTGGGGCCAGGACACTAGGAGCCCTCCCACTGTTGCCCCTCCCCCAAGCACCAAGAATACAGTGCATCACTTGCCCTAGCCTGAGAGTTCCTATTTATTTGTTGTTCAATCGCACAGTCGAGTCCGACTCTTCGCGACCCCATGGACCAGATCACGCCAGGCCTTCCTGTCTTCCGCTGTCCTCTGAAGTTTGCTCAATTTTATGTTTGTTGCATCTATGACACTGTCTAACCATCTCATCCTTTGCCATCCCCGTCTTCTTTGACCTTCAATCTTTCCCAGCATCAGGGTCTTCTCCTTGTGGCTAATAGCCCCTGATGGACTTCTACTCCATATGCTTATCTAATTCCCTCTTGAAGCTGTCCATGCTTGTAGCCGCCACCACCTCCTGTGACAGTGAATTCCATGTGTTAATCACTCTCTGGGTGAAGAAGTACTTCCTTTTATCTGTTCTAACCCGACGGCTCAGCCATTTTATTAAGTGCCCACGAGTTCTTGTATTGTGAGATGGGGAGAAAAGTACTTCTTTCTCAACCTGCTCTGTCCCATGCATAATCTTATAAACCTCGATCATGTCACCCCTCAGCCGTCGTTTCTCCACGCTTAAAGAGCCCCAAGCGTTTTAACCTTTCTTCATAGGTAAAGTGTTCCAACCCTTTTATCATTCTAGTTGCCCTTTTCTGCACTTTTTCCAATGCTATAATATCCTTTTTGAGGTGTGGTGACCAGAGCTGTAAACAGTACTCCAAATGAGGTCGCACCATTGATTATACAGGGGGATTATGATACTGGCTGATTTGTTTTCAATTCCCTTCCCAATAATCCCTAGAATAGTATTGGCCTTTTTATTGCAGTTGCACACTGTCTAGACATTTTCATTGAGTTATCTACTACGACTCCAAGATCTCTCTCTTGGTCAATCTCTGCCAGTTCGGACCCCATCAATGTGTATTTATATTTAGGATTTTTGGCTCCAATGTGCATCACCTTGCACTTGGCCACATTGAACCCCGGTTGCCATGTTGACGCCCACTCGCCCATCCTTGACAGATCCCTTCGGAGTGCCTCACAATCCTCACTGGTTTTCACCACCCTGAACAACTTCGTATCATCCGCAAATTTAGCCACTTCACTGCTTACTCCCAACTCCAAATCATTAATGAACAAGTTAAAAAGCATCGGACCCAGTACTGATCCCTATGGTACCCCACTGCTTACCACCCTCCACTGTCATGCCAGGCTTGGTGATGGGGGGATTTAGGATACCCCCCGTGAGTCTCCCCCCCCCCAACAGTAAGGAGGGAACAGTGGGGAATCGGCAGCAATGGGTGGAGTACTCACTCCCCCCTCCCCACAAGTATTGTGGCTTCTCACTTGTCATTATCTAATGCTGTAGGCTGGCTTGCATAAAAATGTTTATGCAACATGTTTGGAGTAACAGCTGTCTTAAAAAGCTCTTCACTCATTCGGAAAGAAAAAAAACAATAGGAGTTCTCAGGTTATCACTGAAGGAACATGGGGGGGGGGGGGTAAATGGAAGAAAACAATTCCCCTGATTTTTCCATTTTCCCCTTAGGCTTTCACATTTCTAATCAGTAGAGAAGCAGGGAACAGATTTGTCACAGTAACAGGTACAGCAGGACAGTCCCATGCTTACAGGCATTAGCGAGATCTCCTGTGTAGACATGGAATCCATTGATGCAGTAGCCTTTTATCTAATGATCTGGGAAAGGATCTTCCTGGAGAGAATCTGAACTGATTTTGTTGTCTGTGTTATCCAGTGGCCAAAGCTTCATTTTTAGACTGACACTGTATGTGGGAGATTTGTGATGCAGCTTTGGTAGACCCTCCCCTGAAGTCCAGTGAATGAACCAACCTCCCAAGCCTTGTTAAGCCCTTGGAGACTGGGCAGCCCTTTTGTCAGGAAACAATTGCAGACTACTTGGGTGTGGATGGTATAGCAACTGTACTTGCAGATCCAATTTAACATTGAAGGAGTTGAGGTAGGGGCAGGTTCCTACTTCTGTGTTTCTAGGCTTTTAGGATCACTGGAGAAAGGCAGGCATCTTTGAGGTTCCCACAGGCATATTGTCCTCTCACCACCGTATTTCTCCTTTGCCTCCAAGGTCTTCGTCATCCTGTCAGTGAGCAACTCCAGTGGCACCCTTGACTATGAGCAGCTACTATTCCTTGGTGTGCGCCTGGCCTCCTGGAACCAGATCCTGGACCCCTGGGTATACATCCTGCTACGGCGTGCTGTGTTGCGCAAGATCCTTGCTTTGTTTCTCCGACACACCGATCTCAAGATGCGCATTGACCGGTGGGAGGCCAGCTCCTTCCAAAGCTCTGAGCGCAGTGTTGCTGTTGGCCGTCTCTAGTGCTGTCTGGAATGAGCAGAGGTACTTATCCTCTGAAGATGCCTAGGAAGCACTTTTGCACATTCCCCCTTGTTTGCAAAACAGCCTCCCTGGGAAACCATGTTAAGCAAGAAGGGGCATGAGGCTTGCATGAAACAGAAGGCTCTCTAGAGTCAGTATCCCGGGCCCTTTACTGATAGTGCAGTTGGTGATACAGGAGCCAACATGGCAGGCTCAGTTTACTCCACAACAAGAGGGAGTGGGGATCCAAGAGTGTGGAGCAAAGGATACTTCTGGACCAGCTCCCTGCTTAGTTTTCCATCATGGGTCTTTCTCACGAATAAGAAACACTGGATCTTCCCTGGAGTTCTATTAAGGAATCATGAGCATTCCTTTGAAAGGGCATAGCTCAGTGATGGAACATACAAAATGCTTAAGAATCAATTCCAGGCATCTCCAATTGAGCAGGATTGTAAAAGATCAACACATCAGATCTAGAAGAATCACTGTTAGTTAAGGGATCAATATAGAGCTACGTAGCCAGTGGTCCAACTCAACATAAGAGAGCTTCATAAGCCATACATAAGAGAGCTCAACATAAGAGAGCTTCATAAGCCATTGGTTGTTACTGGTTCCATGATGATGCCATATATTCCAAGTGTGTGACATGGAGATGGGGGGGAGGTAGGAGGATTCCATTCATGACATCCTGGCATGGCTCAGCAATTTCTTGAAGAGATTGCCTCTGGGTTTCTAAGCAGGGATCAAACTCGTCAGTTGATTAATAAGCAGGTCACTTAAAAAACCCAAACCTTTAGGTAGTGTCTTCTTTTGGGCAATTCTATTCAGGCTGTTCCATCATTCAGCTACAGCTGTCTGAATACACAGCATTCTGTTTAATCTGCTATTTTGCAGCCATGCCAAGCCTGTGAAGTACTTTCCCCATCCCAACCCAGAGGCTGCTCATAAAGTATCAGTATATACAGCCTCCTTCCACGCTTAAAACATTTAGAGAGTGTGTATAAATTCTACTGGAAGAGAGGAGGCTAGTGCTGGTAGCTCAGGGTGGCTTAATGGTTGCATTCACAGCCATCACAAACATACATGAGTTTGCTCGTGATGGGCACGATCCTGGTTAACTGTAGGCGTGCAAGTGCCCTCTCCCCCTCATAGTGCGCCCAGACCGATGATGGTCGTCTGCCAATTCCTATTTGTCAAGGTATTTGAATGTGGGCGTTTTTAACAAAATGTGTTTCTTTCCAATCAATCTGGATTTTTAACCCTGGGTTACTGAGACCTCATTATTTGGAAGGAAACAGCCCCGAGCTTGTTGAGGCATCTGCATTCAGATAGCCTGGCAAACTGGGAGTTAGCTGAAGATTCCTCTCTTCATTTCGGTGTGCTGCGTGAGGGGAGCGTTTTTTTAATGATGTCTGGATGCAGTCTGTGTTTGGGTGTAAACTTGGGTGTTCCAGGGAAACCCTGATGGAAAATCAGTCTTCAAAGCACTGGCACAAGGTTTCCCAAACTTCATGGGGACAGGAAAAACTCTCTTCCAGAACTGAGCAAATTGCAGGACTTGTAACAGCATCACTTTTCCATAGTCAGGAAGATGGCTTCTGGGTATCAGGTAGATCCACAGCAGAAAGGCCGTCTGCACTGGAATGAGGTGAGCAGGGCCAACGTCAGCAAATCCTCGGCCTGGGGCTTTTGGCAGGGTCCACTGCCGCCAGCCCTTCCCCCACCTGCTCACTTGTGAGTGCTGCATCACCCATGCTCCCACCGTGTCCTCAGAGAAAGGGCTGCAAGCAGAGTGGATGGTTGTGAGCATGGGCAATGGGAGGGCTTGCAAACAAGGAAGGGGAAGCGTACACGGGCAGGTCGTGAGACATTTGGGTGGAGAGGGGCCCCCTGGGAACTCTCTGCCCAGGGCCTCCCAAAATCTGGAACCAGCTCTGGAGTCGAGGGTCCTGTAATTTTAATATGTAATTTACAGACTATAAATGTGGTGCGGCCATACCCCATACTGTGGGATGGTGTAGATTGACTTCTGAGGCCTTCAGAATAAGGAGTGTTTGTACAGTTTTCCTTGGAGAGGGGGTAACGGGGAAGGTTCTCTGCAGACACTTGTGTGGCTATTGTATGTATGGCCAGTACCTGGCCTGTACAAGCTGTTATCCATTGCAGGACGCTCTGTTACAATAAAGTATCTTTGCAGAGCATTCTTGCCTTATACAATTTATTGCCCTTATGTCATGGGCTAAATCCCAGCATGCCTGCTGGCAGCTTTCTCTGGCAGCCCTGCTAACAGCCTCTAAGGACCAGGTTGCAATCTGGCAAACTGGGTCAAAAACAGCAGGGAAGCTTCAGTATTATGTTATCCCAGAATGGATGGAAACTGGTGCCCCCTAGTGGGAGAGATAGACCTCTACCTCAGCTGTAAACACTTCCTGCAAGTTCAAATGAAGATAGATTCAGGAGGGTAGCCAAGTATTGGTCTGAAGAAGCAGAACAAATTTTGAGTCCACTGGCACCTTTAAGACCAACAAGGTTTTATTCTGGGTATAAGCTTTCTTGTGCATCCAGACTTCTGCAGACATCTGACGATGTGTGCATGCACATGAAAGCTTATGCCGTGAATAAAACTTTGTTGGTCTTAAAGGTGCCAGTGGACTCAAACTTTGTTCTGCCAGCTGAGATGTTATGGCTAGATCTGGGGTAGCATCCCTCTCTGTATATTCTGTGGAATCTCCTCAAAATTAGCCCACACAGACACCATAACACAGGCCTTTATTATCTGACACATTTTACAGAGCTTTTCCCAGGATCAGGGGCACGCAGTTCCAGTTTGTTGGATACCCAGATGCTTCTGTCACCTGATGATACAAACTGGAGTTCATTAGCCTCGTGAATAATCATTTTCCAAAAGCTGCCCTTGCAGGGCCTGTGCAAGCAGGCTGTGTTGTCTAGCAAGCACTGCTGGGAGACGGCAGAGCCTCCAGCGGCCTGAGTTCTAAATAAGGAGCCATCAGTAGATGTCCTAAAAGGAACCAGCGCTAGCATGGGACTGTTTGAGACAAGACAAAGGGATGGACAGCTTCACATCCCGCTCTGAGAGGCATCTGGCTGGCTGCTGTTGCATGCAGGATGCTGGACTAGATGGGCCTTTGGTCTGATCCAGCAGGGCTCTTCAGCTGTTTGGGCATTGGTTCCCCCTAGTGAAAGTCAACAGGTACTATCTTAATGTCCTGCAAGGCACAAGGATGGGACAAGCCACGAGATTCACAGTCGTAGCGACGGCACTCAAAATACCTGGGAGGAGGCACCTGGCCTCACGTATTATAATTAGCTGTGAGTTGTTTGTTGCCAGATTTTGCATAGAAGGGTGGACGAGAGCAGGGTGATGGGCCTCACACGCCAGACTTCACATGAAAGAGATGGTAACAATTAAGCAGAGGAAGCCAACGGTTCCAGCAGAAGTAGGAACTCCTCAGGCACTCAGTTGTAGAGATCATCATCTCCCTCTTCCTGGAAAAGGCTCCCCTGGCCACTGTTGCTTCCAGTGCTGCCCGTTCCACCACTGTTCTGGTTTCCTGCTGGGAACCTATGGAGAAGGAGAGCTGGGTGGGTTCAGCACAGAGGAAAGGCAAACTATTTACTTTGTGTTATGAACACAGGCCCCAGTCCTGTTGCTGCAGTCACCCATAAAGAAAGTGTGGGTAGGTGAGTTCATGCAAATAGAGATGGGCATTTAAAAGCACTTCCCACTCAAAGTAAGGCACTGCAGACAGACTTCGTTCTTACTCAGATGCATGTTCTGCAAGAACAGCTTATTTATGCCCAGAGTTCCACAAGTGATACATGTGCATAAGTCTGCCTCTGGATTTCCAAAACTGGAGTGTTATAATGCTGTTCTGTGAACCGTCTTTTGTTGATTTCATCCATTCAGTTGTTTCATTTTCCTGTTTTTATGTTTTGTTTTAATATAGCCTGTATATGTAATTTTATCATGTAAGCTGCCTTAAAGACGTTACTGGAACACAAACGTAATAAATGAGAGCATGTCATGTTTGCTTAGGTAGGCAAGTCTTGGCATTCAGCCCTCAGGAATCCTTGTGGGAGTCAAAGTGAGGCCAAAGTTCCACCATTATTTGAGAGCAAAGTCCAGGTTTTAGTTACTTTAGTTACCAGGTATCCTGCCTTAAGCCCTTTGGTAAGAATGTTGTTCCCACCCTTCCATTTCCTGGTGTACAATGAAAACCAAACTGGGTTTCACAGATCCCCAGTGGGCGAGGAAGATTCTCATAGCCTCTCTCCATCAATGAGAGTCACACCAGGGATCCCATATACTGTCCCAAACCAAGGGCATGGATAAATTCTAACTTGGGGGGGGGGGGGCAAATTTTTTTCCCTATGACCTGAAGTTACCGAAGCCACGGCTTTGCTGTAACGTTTGGGCAAACATCTCATATTTCCGTATGTCGTTATCACTGACCGAGCGGCGTGCAAAGCGCATTGCTTCTTCAAAGTGATCACGGCGTATCTCTGGCACTGGATCATAATCGTCATCCTGTAAGAATGGGCAGAAGAAAAACACCATCAGCCTGTGTCTTTATTAAATTCATAACCTTACTAGGTTAATGCAGTGGAGGACACTATAACTCCTCCAGATGGGTGGCAGCTGTAAACATTCTGGAGGAGAATGCAGAGTACGTTACTAAGGGCAAGAATCAGGTTGGAGACTACAGTGAAGGATTTGGCTGGGCTCTGTTGGGGTGTGGGAGGGTCCTGCCTCCGTACCATGGCAGCATATTTATGACGCTGACGTTCCCGTTCTGCCTTGATCTCCATCTCAATGGCCTCGCGGATGGCGAGCTTGCAGGCGCGCTGGCAAATTTCAGTGAGGTCCGCACCCGAGAAGCCATGTGTGATCTTAGCCAGATAATTCAAGTCTACATCCTGTCAGAAGAAGACATATATTATGGGAAGGACCTTGACAGCACAGAGAAAAGTTCCCTCCACGACACTTACCTTGTCTGTCAGGTATCTTCCTCCATTAGAAGACAGACAGAGTGGAGAGCAGATTATGAACTAGGAATCCAGGATCCACTTGTAGCATCTACTTCCCACGATACTGAAACTTCCCTCCTCTATTTTCAACCCCACCTTTGCTAACCTTGGCAACAGGTGATTTACGCAGGTTGGCTTGGAGGATGGCCACACGTGACTTATCATCAGGCAATGGGATGTAGATGAGCTGGTCCAAACGCCCTGGGCGTAGAATGGCTGGGTCAATGATGTCTGGTCTGGATGTCAAAGAAATAGAAAAATGATCTTAAGGCTCATTGGCTGCTCCACACT